GCAAATAAAAATAGAAACAAAAAATCAGCTGGGCATGGTAGTGCACACCTATAGCCCCAGCTACTCAGGAGGCTGGGGCAGGAGGATTGCTTGAGCCCTCGAGTTGCTGTGAGGTTGCTGTGAGCTAGGCTGATGCCATGGCACTCTAGTCCAGGCAACAGAGCAAGACTCTGTCTCAAAAATATATATATATATTCTGGGCTCAGAGCACTAAAGCCAAACAGGATTGTCTTAGCAAAAAGTTAAGATCAATAATATCAAGTATTGCCAAGGGTGTGGGGAATAAGCTATCCTCATATCCTCATATACTATTGGCAACAGTGTCAACTCAATGCAGAATTTTTGGAAGGCAATTTGGACAAATCCCTGAAAATTTTAAACATGCATATGCTATATGACCTGCACTTTCACAACTAGTAATGTAGCCTACAGAAATATTAGAAGACATGCATACAGATACATACACAAGAATGTATTTGGCAGCAGTGCTTCTAATTTTAAAAAATGGAAGATACGGATCTATCAAGAAAAGAATGGATAATTCCTATAATCTAGTGATCTCCTATATATCTATTTTAAGAATGAGAACTAGGCTGGGCACAGTGGCTCATGCCTATAATCCTAGCACTCTGGGAGGCCAAGGCAGGAGGATCACTTGAGCTCAAGAGTTGAAGACCAGCCTGCACAAGAGCAAGACCTTGTCTCTACTCAAAATAGAAAAATTAGCCAGGTGTGGTGACACACGCCTGTAGTCCCAGCTACTTGGGAGGCTGAGGCAAGAGGATTGGCTTAGCCCAGGAGTTTGAGGTTGCAGTGAGCTGTGATGATGCCACTGCACTCTACCTGGGGTGACAGAGCGAGATGCTGTCTCAAAAAAAAAAAAAAAAAGAGAGAACTGTATATGTGTCCATGCATGTGTGTATGTGTAGTATGACTCCACTTCCGTTTTTTAAAAATCTCACTTATGTATATGTCAATATATGTATGAATGAGCATGAAAAAAATCTGCAAATACACTCACCAATCTGTAAACAGTGATTGCTTTGATCACTTTTAGGAAGTGAGACCAGAATGGGGGAAGTGGGTTTCACTATTTCTGTATACCCCTCTATAATTTTTGAGTTTACTATAACAAGCATGTATTATTTTTGCTATTTAAAAATATTTCAGGCCGGGCACGGTGGCTCACGCCTGTAATCCTAGCTCTCTGGGAGGCTGAGGCGGGCGGATTGCTCGAGGTCAGGAGTTCGACCAGCTGAGCAAGGTGAGACCCCGTCTCTACTATAAACTAGAAAGAAATTAATTGGCCAACTAATATATATATACAAAAAAATTAGCCGGGCATGTGGCGAATGCCGTATCCCAGCTACTTGGGAGGCGAGGCCAGTAGGATTGCTTGAGCCAGGAGTTTGAGGTTGCTGTGAGCTAGGCTGACGCCACGGCACTCACTCTAGCCTGGGCAACAAAGTGAGACTCTGTCTCAAAAAAAAAAAAAAAAAATATTTCAAAGAGATAAAAATGATTTCTTAAAAACTGTTTTTCTCTGGGTGTGTTCCCTTACATTAGCCGTTTAATTGTGTGTTTCAGGCTCATTCATTAGACATAATCCAATATGCCTTATGTCTTGATCTAGTTTGGGTCTTCTTAGCTAAAAGCTAATCCAGTCCAATCCCCTTGAGATTAAAACTAGGCAATCCTGATTGCCTTTGGGTTTCCCAGAGAGTTATTAATTCCTTATTGTTTTAAGTTCAATAGATTTAGGGGGTACAAGTGTTTTTTCTTACATGGATGAAATGTACAATATTGAAGTCTGGGCATACTACATTATGACTATATATTAATACACCCATCATTTAGCTCCCATTTATAAGTGAGAAAATGTGGTATATTTGCTTCCCCATTTTTTAGATACTTAGGATAATAGTCTCCAGTTCCATCCACAGTGCTGCAAAGGACATTATTCATTCCTTTTTGTGGTGTACATGTATCCCATGAAGTGTGTAATATAATATATACATACACACACACCACATTTTTTTTGTCTATTCATCCATTGATGGGAACGTAGGTTCTTTGAAAATGTGAATATCTTTGCAAATGTGAATTGTGCTGCAATAAACATTCAGGTGCAGGTGTCTTTTTGATATAATGACTTCTTTTCCTTTGGGTAGATACCAAAGAGTATTGAAATTGCTGGATCAAATGGTAGGTCTACTTTTTGTTATTTGAGGATCTCCATACTGTTCTCCGTAGAGGTTGTACTAATTTATGTTCCCACCAACAGTGTATAAGCATTCCCTTTTTACCACATCTGCACCAACAGCTCTTGTTTTTTGCCTTTTTAATAATGGCCATTCTGATGGGGTTAAGGTGGTATTTCATTGTGGTTTTAATTTGCATTTCCCTGATGATTAGTGATGTTGAGCATTTTTTCATATATTTGTTGGCCATTTGTATATTTCTTAATTTCAATTTAGCATCAGGTCCTTGAAACTTTGTGTCCTTAGTTCCTGTTCTTTAATGTTGCATGTGGTTAACCAAAACCCCAGATTTCCTCTTAATAAATTGCTGCTAGACAAGGTCACCTCAATTCTGGACCTAATCAATTATTTTTTTAAATGTAAAGACAGATGGTTACACTTAGTTTTGTTAAATTTCATAATGTAGATTTTGTACACCATTCCAGTCTGTTAACACAATTTTGGACCTTTACTTCTCTTGCACTAGATACTCCTCTAAATTTTACATTATCTAAACATTTAATCACTGGGGAGATCATAACATTTATAGACAACAGACACAAAGAAGTCTTTTAGACACCAAAATCTACTTAAGCTTAAGCCAAAGGGAAATTTAAGGTATCTAAGGTATTTAAGGTATCTAAGGCATCTCACTGACTCCAAGGTAGGGACGACCTATCTGAGCAGGGCAAGGCAGGACACAGGCAGTACCTCTCCCTCCCTGGTCTCTGCCTCTTATGCTCGGTCTCAATCCCCCATGCCCTTCCTCCCTCTCTAGCACTGCCCTCACCCTCAGACCCCCTACCTCTCCCACTGGCATGGCCACAGACCCACCAAGTGTGGGCCACAGAGAAAGTGCTGACCCCTCCCCCAGCTAAAATTCTTTTTTTTGAGTCAGAGTCTCACCCTGTTGCCCAGGCTAGAGTGCCATGGAGTCAGCCTAGCTCACAGCAACCTCAAACTCCTGGGCTCAAGCAATCCTCCTGCCTCAGCCTCCCGAGTAGCTGGGACTACAGGCATGAGCCCCCATGTCGGGCTAATTTTTTTTTTCTATATATTTTTAGTTGGCCAATTAATTTCTTTCTATTATTTAGTAGAGACGGGGGTCTCACTCTTGCTCAGGCTGGTTTTGAACTCCTGACCTTGAGCAATCCACCCGCCCTGGCCTCCCAGAGTGCTAGGATTACAGGCGTGAGCCACCACACCCAGCCTGCTAAAACTCTTTATCCTAGATTTGCATCAGGCCCCAGGCGTCTTCCAGACCACCAGTTCCATGTATTTCTACTGGCTTCCCTTCAAATTTACCCCATTGGCCTGAGAACCACCCCAGATATTCAGAGTCTATACCTCCCCTCTAGCCCCAGACCAAAGCCCAATTTCAATTTCTAGGAGGTAGCAGTCTGGGTTAGGTGTCCACCTTGGTGTAGACAAAGGTGGCCAAGGGTCAAGTTCAAGTAGAACAAACATGGCTTCCCAGAGCCATCCTCTGCATGGCTAGGTACAGTTCTCAGAGAAAGAGGCATAATACTGACAACGGCCTGATGAGCAAATGCCCCCAATTTGTCCACTATGAAATATCAATGGACACCAACTCCAAGTCTAAGATATTATGCATCAGTTCTACCCACGTTCAAAGTAAGGGGAAGGCTTCGAAGCGTGAAAGTTGTCAGAATCAAAATAGAGTCGTTTACATCAGCCCTAATAGAATAAAGCCAGGAGCTCATGGGTGTGGGAGCGCTCTGTCAGGCACAATTTGCCTGATAACAGGAACTATCGCAAGAAATTTTTCCAAACCACAGCTTGCTACATGAGTCATACAAGGACAGCCAGCGGCTTGTACAAGAACACTTGCCTGACACACTGTCTCCACTAATGAACTGACATCAACTCCTGCCATAGCCCTTGTTGCCACTGTCCTTTTGTTTCTAAACAACCTAGTGTCCTCCTCCTTTTGCCTTTAAGCTTCCCCTTGCCACAGCCTCCCTGGGTATTGTCATAGCTGCCTGTGATTTGTCATAGCTGAGTGTCCTGCATTGCAATGCCCTGCTGTTCCCAACAAAACTCAGTATTTTTAGAGAGCCTCTCTCTGTTTGTTATTCAAACTGACAGGAGGTAAAGAATAGAGGACAATTTACTGGTTAAGTGCCTTTGACCTTGGAGTCAAAGTAGGGATTAAATCCTAATCCTGTCACAAACTAGCTATTTTAATCTCAGTAAAATTACTTCATCACCTTATGCTTCAGTTTCCTCACCTATGAGACGGCAAAAAATAATAACTGAAGTCTCACTGAGTGGTTATAGATATTAAAGGAAATTATATATCTGGCTACCTAGCTCATAGGGAGCATTTCATAAATGGCAACTATCATTATTAATATTATGCATCACCCTCAGTACTATTATGAAGAAGTAAAGCTGTAATGATGCCATGAAAGGCAGTTGGTTTGGCATGATATATATATATGTTCTGACCATAACCTTATTTTTGCATATGTACATATAGAGAGAATATATGGGATAAAATATAGGGTGTATATAGTATATATATTAATATAAGATATAAAGAACAGCATAAAATCCATATACTCTATGTATTGGATAACAGGATTCATGAGATGATAAATACACGGCATAACAGAAATACAACCTTCTTGTACTCGGACTCCTTGTGTGTGAGGGGCGCTGCCTGTTGTCGTGTCTGTGTAAGCACCTGAAGGGTTGTGCAAAGAGATGCCAAACACACGCGTCTAGAAATGTCAGCCTTGTCATGCAGTGGCGTGAGGGGAAAACACTCTGGAGACACAGTCCTTTTGTTTAAAATAGAAACTTTCAGGAAGCCAAGTGAACACATGACAAATTACTGAATACCCCGTTCTCCGGGAGGGAAAAAAAGAAAAAGAAAAAGCAGCCCCTTCATTTCTGAATGAGAAGGGGAATTGCTGGTCCCCAAAACCCACGTTTCCTTTTTGGTGGAATGCTCCAGCCAAGCTTGGCGCTAACGCGGTAGGCGATTTCACTTCGCCGTCACCTCACAAAAGACTTCCAAATTCACTGCGGCAGACACCGCAAAATAAAAATGTTAAATACATTCTAGCTGGGAGGGGATTGAAGCCTCCACGCTCAATCAAAGGTTTGCAATAATAGGATTCATAAAAAAAAAAAAAAGGACAGATGGGATTAGAAAATGTTGCAGTGAAGACTGTGGAATGAGATGAGCTCACAGCACCAGCCTGTCTTTTGTGGACCTGCACAATGATCCCCGAGCCAGACTGGATTAGGAAACCTCGCGACTAGGAGTCCGGAGAGAGGCCTCGGGTTCCCAGGCACTTCGGGGAGAGAAGGCAGACACGATGCATCAGATCTACAGCTGCAGTGACGAAAACATAGAAGTTTTCACCACCGTGATTCCTTCCAAGGGTGAGTACAATTGCCCTTGACTGTCTCCTTAACGCGGCTTCTCGTGCAGGAGGGTGAGGACCGTCACGTGCTGTTTACTACGCTTTATCCTCAGGACTTTGGGGTCCGATGGGTTCCCTGCTTTGATGGTATTTGATTGTTTTGTTTTGTTTTGTTTTCTGAGAAGGAGGGAAAAGGGTAAACATCAATCACTGAGAAACAATCCATCAAGGGGAAAACGAGGGCAGTTGCACCCTCCCTGTTCACCTAATCCAATACTGACAATCCAATATGCCAAACGAAAGTGACAGCAAGCCATTGTTTAGGCAACACAGATGAAAACAATCCCGGGGCAGCGAGACAGATTCTTTCATTTTCTCCAGTGAGCAAGTGGGTTCTGAAATGACAACAGCTGGCTCAAAAGTCTGATCTCTAACTATGCCATGAGACAGGAGGAGAAATCCTCCCAGCAGTGGCCTCAAGTCCAATGAAGCAGTCAGAGAGTGCCCTGACCCACCCCCAACCCCCGCTGGCCTCCCCATAGAAGCCCAGGGCCATCCTGCCAAACTTAGCCTGGAGCTAACGCCACAAAAAACGTGTGACACGAGAATCTCAACTTTACAAGCTCCTGTGTTAAGTCTCAGGGAAGGGCTTTGTGTGAGGTTCAGCTGACTCCAAGCGTGTGGATCCTGGCGGGTCCCTCGCCCCCGCCAGAGCGCAGCCCCCTCTCCTGCTGCCTCTGCTCTCTCCTGCGTCCTGTGACAGGCTTAGCCCCTGGGCTCACTGTCAGGCTTGAATGAAGTGGGCTGGGTGTTTGCTGGTGTTGTGATTCTACGTTCAAACAATTTCTTTCTTCCTCCCGTGTCAGCCTCCGACAGGGCCACTGCTAAGGGAGGGAGGGAGAGACTCAGCTTGGCCACACAGGACAGCCAAGCAGAACATAAATTAAGCTTTAGACACATACTGTCAGAGACAGGGGGAAAAGAGCTAGAAGTCTGCCCACGTGCAGGAGTTGGGAGTCTCTCTGGAGACTCTCAGTCACAGCTGACTGTGACCCAGCAGTTCCACCTGTGGGTAAATAGCCAGGGACTCTCACATGTGGATGTTCGCAGTGGCACTGACTCTAAGAGCACAAAATTGAAAATGACCTAAATGTCCATGAAATGGATCAAATGTGTGCCATCATACTACGGAACACTACATGACAGCGATAGGAATGAACTAGATCTATGTGTATGGACATAGATCTCAAAGTATAATGTTGAGTGCAAAGCAAGCAGGCTGAAAAATGATATATGTATGGTAGCATTTTGTAAATTTAGAAAAACAAAACCGTACTATATATTGTGTATGGACATATACCTAGAGAAAAGTATGGAAACACAGATGCAAATAGAATTAGTGATCTCAGTAGCCCTGGGGTAATAGGGAAGGAGAATTAGGAAAAGGTAGAAATGAGATGAGAATATTACCTCTATTTTTTTTATTTCTTTTATATGAGGAGAAAGCAAATTGGAAGCAAATATGAAAATGTTAAATATGTCTATCTTCTATAATTTATTTCCATTTAAAATTTTTTAAAAGGAGAAAAAAAATCAAAGTGTTTAAGAAACTGCTGCTACTTCTGCTGTGTGACCTTGGGCAAGATACTTAACCTGTCTGGGCCTGCATTTCCACTCTGTAAAAGGGAGAAACAGAACTTACCTCCCAGCATTATTATGGTAAATAAATTAGTTGATACAGAAAGTATTTAAAGCATCTAGAACCATAGCTGGCATGTAGTAAGCACCGTGAAATACATCACTTACAAAGTGATTTCTATTTTTACTCTGTATTTGTAGCAATAAATATGTTCAAAGATAAATATTTAATCCTATATTCCTTTTTTGCCATTTTCATTCACGTCCACCTCCTGGTATTAAACCAAGTATTTGTTGGTATTCACAGACATTTCCCTGCTCAGGAAGTTGTTCTCTAGAAAAGGAGCATTTGCAGGTTTACATTAGCTCATAAGTGGATGAAGTCCGCCTCTTCCCACATCTCTCTTCGCCCATCTGGCCTTCTCCAAGGATTTTGAGCACAGGGTGGGAGAAGAGGATGTTGGCAGGTCTTGAGTCCCTGCTCAGGAGAGAGACTGGTCACTCTTCATGCATCCATCCCCATGTTCCCTGACTGCAGAAATACAATTGGCTTGATTTTACCTAACACAGGTTGAGTCTCCCTGGTGTGCCCTTCTGCCAAAGGCTGTGGTTCAGCCATGTTTATCAGTGTGCAACAAGCAAACCTTTCTGAGCGCAAGCTCAGCGGCGTGGGCGGTGTAGTCTAGTGGGTGAAAGCGTGGCCCCCTGGAGCCCTCAGATCCCCACCTATGCAGTGGAGGAATGAAGACTAGCCTCCTCCTAGAGTTGCTGCTACAAAAGCGAAAGGGATGAGACAAACAAGGCGTCAGCTAGGATAGCTCAGTGTGGCTATCATGACATTGATTGTTGTATTGCATCCCTCTCTCCAACACACATGGATTGAGTGCAGCCTAAAATCTACAGTTTTTTTTTTTTTTTTTTTGAGACAGAGTCTCGCTTTGTTGCCCAGGCTAGAGTGAGTGCCGTGGCGTCAGCCTAGCTCACAGCAACCTCAAACTCCTGGGCTCAAGCAATCCTCCTGCCTCAGCCTCCCGAGTAGCTGGGACCACAGGCATGCGCCACCATGCCCGGCTAATTTTTTCTCTATATATAAGTTGGCCAATTAATTTCTTTCTCTTTATAGTAGAGATGGGGTTTTGCTCTTGCTCAGGCTGGTTTCGAACTCCTGACCTCGAGCAATCCGCCCGCCTCAGCCTCCCAGTACATATTTTTTAATTGAGCCATCATAATAGCTCACAAAAATATGGCAATAGCAAATATTATGGTGTTTCTTAAGTATTTTAAAGGGACAGGACAGGACACATGTAACTGCAAACATGTGTGTATTTTTACTTTCTGGAGAGAAAAAGGATCCTTTAAGGGAAAGGTTTTATAGGCACTATTCACAGTAAATACGAAAGATAAAAGCTGTGGTTTTACCGAGAAGTTGTACCGGAAGTTATTTCCTGAGGCACCCAGAGTGGAGTTAGTTCTGGGGTGAGCAGTACCCCAGCATTCAAAATAATTCTTTTGGGAATGAGCAACAATGGGGAAAGGTGGCCAGGGGAATCAGGAAACTGCAGGAGGAAATGGAGAAAGTTCCAGAAAGAGAAATCCTAAGAAAATGCTACTCTCTGTAGACATCATCACCTGCTCCTTCCACCTGCCCTCATCCTGCAGAGGAGAAAAATCATGACAGCCGCCTCTAATTCCTGGGAGTTTACTCTTCGCCAGGTGCTGGGCCAAGGGTTTTACAAAGATTAGTTCATTTAATCCTTGCCTCAGTGCTGTGAGCAAGCTGCCATTAATAGCCCAGCCTCACAAATCAGGAAAATGAGGCATCAAGAGAGTGAGTAATTTCCCCAAATCACACACTTGGCAAGGGTCAAGTTTGGCTTCACACCCAGGTGGAGGGAGACAGTGGAAGGTAATGAGGATAGCACTCATCTGTCACTCATCTGACATATGCTAAGAAGTCACCTCAGTTCTAAGCAGGGCAGGGACATGGTGGATTTCAGTTCCAGGTAGGTCATTTTAGCAGTGATGTGGAAAACAGGTGCATTTGTGTCAATTTTTTTTAACAAAATCCACAGTTTCTCCTAACCAAGTATTAGTTCTCACAGTTAATGGATTTAAGCTTTGAAAAAAAAATAAAATAAACATTGTGGCAAAATATACATAAAATTTACCGTTTTATCCATTTTTGAGTGTTACAGGTCAGTGGCATTAAGTACCTTTGCATTGTTGTACAACCGTCACCACCATCCCTCTCCAGAACTCCATTACCCCACACTGAAACTCTGTGCCCATGAAACACGCACGCCCCATTCTCCCAGCCCCCCAGCCCCTGGTCACCAACATGCTACTTTCTGTCTCTACAAATTTGACTACTCTAGGTACCTCATGTAAGAGGAATCACAGAACACATAACCTTTTGTGTCTGGCTTATTTCACTTAGTACAATGTTTTCAAGGTTCATCTATGTGTAGCATGTATCAGAATTTTCTTTCTTTCCAAGGCTGAGTAATATTCCATTGTATATAGATATCACATTTTGTTTATCCATTCATCTGTTGGTGGACGCTTGGGTTGCTTCCAGCTTTCAGCTATTGTGAATAAATGCTATGAACTTGGGTGTATTCAAGCCATGTAACAGCCTCCACTGCAAGGGAACCTGCCTCTTCCCCTCTTCCCCGTCCCTCCTCGCCCCCACCTTGCCTTGGGTCCAAACCTCCTCAGTGTTGTTACTGTAGCTACATCGGCCTCATTGGCGTTTTCTAAAACCTCTTCTTTGTCTCTCTCTGCAGTGTCCAGTCCAGCCAGAAGAAGAGTCAAAAGTTCTCAACACCTCTTGACCAAGAATGTAAGGAAACTTTAGTTTTGATCTGCTTTGATTGACTTTCTTTAGCAAAGCAATGCCTGCCCTCGACGACCAGGAGGGTTTTTATGTCCCCTGTGGTTGTTGCTATACGCCGTCTGTCCTCTACTTAACCAAAATAGTTAACCAACCTCAACCAGACACCAACCAACCCTGAATTGGACCCTCCTACTCTTCCATTTTCCCCAGGCACAGAGAGTAAACCTCGTTTTATACACACATTTTTGTCTTGTTTAGAGTCCACAATGATGCTATAGCATCCCTGAAGTAGGTGTTTTCCCATCGTTGGCCTTTGTGATGTTGCATTTGTTCACTATTATAAACAGCAGGGCAATGAACTTATATACAAAATACTACTCTTTTAGATTAATTCCGCAGTGCATAGGCCTCCAAGTAAAATTCACAGGTAAAGGGATAAGAACAATTTCATTCATCCATCCACTCATTCATTCTTCAAATATTTGCATTTCTACTGTGAGACATTGTGCTAGATGTGGAGGATATAATAGTGCCTTTTTTAAAAAATGGTTTCTGCTCACAGTTTGTCACATACTTCCAGGAATTCTGAACATTTGGGTGGTTTCCGGGGATTCTTTTCCATTCACCTTCCACATCACCAACATTGGCTTTCATTTTTACATTATGTTTTGCTACTTTAATATGCCTATGCATTATCTTAAAATTAGTTTACATGTCTTTAGAGCTTAATAATGTTGTACATTTCTCATTATATATATATGTTTATATAAAAATTGTCACTACATTTTTGCACTTTATTTTAAAAGGAAAACTTTCTACTTAGTTTTACTAGAGTTTCTATTTTATCACAATTTCTCATAGAATATCATTTTGAATCTTTAAGTATTTCAATTTTTAAAAGCCTATTCTCCATTTAAAAACATTTTTTTAAGTGTCCCAGGAATGAAAATGGGGTTTTACTAGTTTATATATATATATATGTTTTTAATTCCAAAAGCAGTACATGTCTATTGTAAAATGTTAAACATTACAAAGATATAAAATACAGTAAGTAGTCCCCCTGATTGAAGGGAGGTACATTCTAAGACCCCCAGTGGATGCCTGAAAGTGAGGATGGTACCGAACCCTATCTGTCTTTCCAGTCTCTCTAACAAGATGGCTGCTGGCAGGCAGGGGGTACATACAATGTGGATGCACTGGATAAAGGGGGGATTCACATCCTGGGTGGGTCACAGCAGGACAACAAGAGATTTCATCACACTGCTCAAAACAACGTGCAATTTAAAATGTATGAATTGTTTCTGGAATTTTCCATTTAATTTTTTCATCCCCCTGTCTAGGAAGTTTGGATTCAGTTGAGGGACTGCACTCAAGGATCCAGAAGGCCACAGGTGGCCTTGAGGCTGCCGGTTCCCCACTCCTGCATGGTTAGGTGTGTAGACTTTGGAGTCAGGTGGCTCCAAAGTCAGGTGGGATTTAAACTCAGTTTAAATCCCAGTTCTATCTGTTTCCAGCCATGTGACCTTGAGCAAGTTGCCTGGCCTTTCTGGGACTCAACTTCCGTAGCATTAAATGTCGATAATAAGAGCACACATATTAAGGACAAATGCACAAGGAGCAAATGATCTCATACATGAAAAATGTTTACTCCAGAGCCTGACACATATAAGCATTTGCTAAGCATTGGTTTTTTTCTAAGTGAAAATTTCCTATGTATTAACCCATATTATGCTTTATTGTCTGATAATATACTGCTTTGCAATTTGCTTTTTTATTTAATAAATTCTGAACATCTTTCCATGCCAATTCATATGTATAGCTCTACCCCATTCTTTAGAGTGGTTGCATAGTACACCACCGTATGAATGTGCTATTGATACAATTTATTTACCCAAACCAAACCTGTAGTTTTCTACATCCATTATTTAACCAAATCATCAGTGGGTTTCCCCTTTTTTCTATTAAAACAATGCCACAAAAAATTCTTGAACATATTCTTATGTTCTTATCCAAATGTTTGAGGATAAATTCATAGATAGGAAAATGCTAAGCCAAAGGATATGAATGGTGAAAACATTTCATAGCCATGGCCAAATGCCTAGCAACTATGTTTTAAAGTACCTTTTCCAGAACAGCCAAGCCAACACTGTGTGGTATCAATGATGTCAATCTTTGACAATCTGATAGACAAAAATATATTAATTTGTATTTCTATATTTATTAATGTGATTCTTCATCTTTTCATAGATTTATTGATCATTTCAATACCCTTTGCCCATGGGTTTCTTACTCATGTCTTTTTCTTAACTTTCTATCAATTATATGCCTTTTTGTAAGGACTTTTGAGAACATTTTATACATTAAGAAAGAGAAGGGCCTTTTTAATGGATGGAAAATTTGGTTTCAGGGTAACTGATTCTGATCTTCCCGGTGGCCTGTAAAAACTTAAGCCCGAAGTCTGGAAGGAAAATACTCCCAGCTTTCAAGGAGCAGTGAGTGAGGTGTTCCCAAAAATTGAAAAGGAAAGGATTTGTCTGTAGGTAATTCAGAGTTTAAGAAAGCTTCACAGGAGATTTTCAGTCATTTGGTCAAACGGCTGGGCTCTTGTCTTCCCATATCCAGTCTTCCTTCAGGTGGGATAGATCAGTCCTTTCAGCTTTCCTCTGAATTTCCCCATCAGCCCAGCCCGTCCTCTGCTTGTAAAACTCAGCCCCAGCCACACAGCACATTCACTGTAGGAGAGACAGAGGAGGCCTCTTAGTCCACCCCCTCCTTCCACAGATGGGGAAAGTCAGTCCCCAAGGGAAAATGATTGTCTCTAGTCTCTTGTTTCCTCAAGCAACTGGCTCTTGGCTTCCCTTTGAGTTCCTTTTTGTCTTTAACTTGGTGGTCTGAAAACTACTGTGATTCATTACCTTGCAGGAGGGAAATGATTCTTATTTTGCAACTATACCAATATTTACAACTTTCTTTGGCCCCAAATTCTTATTTGTATCTCTTCTTACCCCTTGGGCTACTGTGTGAATGGATGTCAGGTTCCTTCCTCTACAAATCTCTCTTTCCTCTCCGAGCCATCAATAGCGTCAGAGTTCTCTGACTCCCCTTGAGTTGCATTTTCTTCCAAACCCAGGCCACTCACTGTTCCTTCTCTAGACAGCCTCTCCAGTCTTCCCACATCATAGGAGTAGCTCAAGGGGATAAACTTATGCAAAGGTGTGGGTTAAACTTTCAGCATAATGGAGCCACTTCCATGGCCATTCATGGCCCACTGTGCAATCAATTGCACTTGGAAGTTTGCGTCTGAATGTGGGCACTCCTGTGGGTTTTACAAAGAGCACTGAGGAAGCATGAAACTGTGGTTCTCATCCTGGCTCTGTCCCTTACAGATCTATGAAAATATATGGCCTCTCTTGGCCTCAGTTTCCCTATGTGTAAAATTAGAGAGTTGGGCTAGAACATTTCTATAGATCCCTGCAGCCCCAAATGATAATGATTCTCCACCATCTGAGTCTTCACTATCTTTCTGACTCCCTGTCAGCCCTCCAGGCTGACAAATGAACAAAAGTGTGAATGGAAGATATCAGTGGGTGGACTCCTGGGGCGTGTGTGTTACAGCCAGAGGCTTCTGTTCTTCCTGTCTCTGAGACCAGCAGGGAGCATCACTTTATTGTAGAAAAGCCTGTTGCCCTAGTGCATTCCTCTACTCCAGCAGGCAGTTTGCTGACCTAGGAAAGGAAAATTCCAGCATCAAACCTTTGTCTCCCCTCCCCCCAACCCAATTCTCCAATCTTGCCCCTAATCTCAGGGTACTAAAGAGCTGGCTCTCAGACCAGCAGCAGCAAGCCCAGACTGTGTCCTGTGGACCAGAAAATAAACCAGGCTGCCAGGACCCTCTCAGGAGGCCACAGTTACCCATTCCGCTGTCCCTTCCCTGGCGCAGGCCTCACACACCACCTTGGAGCCATCTCATAGCCTCTGTTGTTGTGGAAAATGAGAACCAAGTCCCAGGCCCAGCTAAGAAACAGGAACCTTCTGGGCTGGGCTCCTCTCCTCTTTCCTTTCCTGCTGTTGGCATCCTTTAGGGGACTGGAGAAGAGACACTTGGCCCTAAGTTGTGACCTGGGAAGTAACTGGCCTCATCTCCACCCCCAGGAAACTGCCCACATCCATCGGCTGCTGAGTAGCTAATGCCTCCCCACTCCCTCCCTGCCCACCGTGCACACAGGGGGTTGGGAAGGTGGCATCTCTTGCTCCTGAAAGGGAACATGCTGGAAGGCGGTGGGGTCTTCCTGTGGACTCCTCAGGCTTTCACATCCTGCCTTACTTTCTCCTTCTACAAAGTGGGTCTGACACACCACACCAATCCTTACCCTCTCTGAGTGCAATGCTGAGAGAATGAAAATAAATGAAAATGAAATTAGGAATAGCTGTGATGAAAGGTCTGCCCACCCACCCCCACCGTCCCCATGAATGACCCCCAGTGTCCTGGCTGTGTATAAACATGCAGGATCTGAGCCCATACTGTTAAGATTCCCTTCATGACTCTCCATAGTAAGATAAAAATGGCTGCCATTTTTTGCCTTAAGTGTTTATAGTTAAATTATTTCAATGATTTAAATATTTTTATTTATTTATTTATTTTTGAGACAAGAGTCTTGCTCTGTTGCCCAGGCTATAGTGCCGTGGTGTCAGCCTAGCTCATAGCAACCTCAAACTCCTGGGCTCAAGAGATCCTTCTGCCTCAGCCTCCTGAGTAGCTGGGACTATAGGCAGGTGCCACCATGCCTGGCTAATTTTTTTCTATGTATTTTTAGTTGGCCAATTGATTTCTATTTTTAGTAGAGACGGGGTCTCACTCTTGCTCAGGCTGGTTTTGAACTCCTGACCTTGAGCGATCCGCCTGCTTCGGCCTCCCAGAGTGTTAGGATTACAGACGTGAGCCACCATGCCCGGCCCAGATTTAAGTATTTTTACAATTTTTAAGGCCATGTTGGTGGGCCCTGACCAAAAGGAGTATTTCTTCTGACTCTACTTCCCCAAATAGCTATGCAGCAGGTGACCATGACTGAACACGGGAGCATGGAGATCCCACCTGCCCCATTTTGCCAGCAGTTTCTTTCTTTCTAAAATCTGAGGATTGGCTGGGCCCCAGTTCTCTCCCTAGGTCTTACCTCCTCTGGAGCTGTCCTCTGCATGAACCAGGGTGTCAACCACTTAGCTGAAAAGATTGTAAGACCCTATTTCCAGGATTGTCTTCATTTCAAATAGCCTGGCCACTTGTCAAAATGTATCAGGCTGTGCAGTGGCTCAGGCCTGTAATTCTAGTACTTTGGGAGGCCTAGCGGAAGGATCGCTTGAGGCCAGTAGTTCAAGATCGGCCTGGGCAGCATGGGAAACTCTGCCTCTGCAAAAACAAAACAAAACATGCCAGGCCACCAGGCGGCTGATCTACCTGGATTTTTGGTCTAATGGACCAAACTCCTGACCCTGTGCAGGGTCTGCTGTTGAGGAACAACCTCCTGAACCCTCATTTTCTCGCACCATGGCACCATTTGGCAATCTGAAGTCAAATAAAACAGTTCATTATTTCTGGCCTGTTTTCCACCCGAGTTTTCTCAAGCTCCTACCATTCACTAGAATAGGGAAGGCTCCAGAAATTCCTTGTCAACATGAGCTCCATCTGCAGAGCTCAGGTCCTGGGGGGCGGTGGGATCCCAGGAGAGGAATAAGCTAACTGTCCTTCCCGGCCCTGCAGGTGGTGATCGAGTCGGACCTGTACGCGCACCGGCCCCTGGAGCTGCTGCAGCACCGCGGTGACCGCAGGGACCCGGGCGACGGCCGCAGGGTGGGCCGGCTGCAGACCGCGCGGCCGCCGGGGGCGCCTCCCGCCAAAGCCCTCGCCAGACCCGGTACGTGAGCTGCGGGCCGGGTCCCCGGGCCTCCCTGGGCGTGGGGACCCACTTAGAGCCGCTCACAGGCCCAGGAAAGGGCAGCGGCGGTGTCTGCCGCCTGCCTTGTGCGTTTTGGAGCTCACTGGTGAGCTGAGCACCAGAGCTTTTTTCCCAAATAAATGCTATTTCCACTGTGAAAGCACCTGCTCCGGGGCCTCACCTACTGCAGCTCCACACACCACCTTGCATCTATAAAACAGGGGCTTCTGAGTGTGACGAGCAAAGACGCTGTTATGTCCCATCTTGCTCCACAGGCAGCGGTGCTGTATTCAGGAGAAAATATAAATCAATAAGCTCTGCAGGGGAGAGAAAACCATGACCCCTTGAAGCAAAGGAAGCTCACGTTATTTATTTAACATTGTGTGTGTGGTGTCTCATTGTATAGCTCTTTATAAACTGCCATCCTAAAGTCTTACCATCTTAAATTTGAATGACTTAAGCAACAATCTATAAAAAGAATTTAGGGGCAAATTTGTTTTGAAAACTGGAAACATTATAGTCTTACCTTGGATATTAGTTTTGTAAAGGGCTTCCACCCCAAGCAGCTAAATAGGAATCTGTCTCTAGCCCACCAAAGTCTATGATAGTATTTTGCCTATAATTGGTAGTTTAGGTTGTTTCTGTTATGCCCACAACATATTCATACTTTAACTCCAAAAATACACAATAGAAAGTCTGGGGTGTCCTCCTCAAAGCCTTTGGGCCTTGGGAATTTTGTATGCTTATGAGAGCTGTAATGAGTCCCCATTGAGTATGGTTCCTTCATCCATCTATCTTTTTCCCCTTTTGTAGATGCTAAATGGCACCACTCAGGTTTCTTTGATCACTGAGAACACAATCTTAAGATCCTATGTATAAGAACACATAAATCAAGCTATATTCTCTATTAAGTGATCACATACACGTATATATATGCAGAGTTAAAGCATTAAAAAAACCACAATATGCCTTGCAAATTAAGAGATTTTTCTCTGTGTCTATATATAAGTGGGTGGGTGGCTGGGTGCATGTATGTTGGAAAGAGAAAAAGAGAATATTTATCATTTCTACAAAATCATAAAATGAATTTAGAGCCATGCTTCTCAAATTTTAATGTGCCAAAGAATCACCTGGGAATCTTGTTTTTCTGCAGATTCAAATTCAGTAGGACTGGGTGGGCCCTAGGATTTAATCTTTCTAACAAGCTCCCATATGTTGCTGCTCTGGGGATAGATCACATATTGAGTTGCAAGGATTTAGAGATGATCTGATGCAGTGGTTCTCAAAGTGGAGTGCCAGGAGCAGCAGCAGACCCTGGAAATTTACTGGATATGCAAATTTTATTGCATCAGAAACTCAAGGTTAGGATCCATCAATCTGTTTTAATGAGCTTCCCCCACCAAGTGATTCTAACGCATGCTGAAGGCAGAGAACCTCCAATCCACTGCAGCCACCCGTCTGCCAATTTACAGAACTGAAACCATAGAAACTGTTTGACCTACCCAAGGTCGCACTGCTTGTTAGCAACAGAGCCAAGATTACATCTCAGGTCTTTTGATTCCCTGGCTAGTGCCTCTTCCCCCAGGGAATGATGTCTTTGAAATTCTCTGGTTTTAGGGGTCACTTTCATTCCTAAGTAGTTTGTGGAAGCTTGGGCTGCCTGAGTCAGTCTTTTATTCTGAAAGACAAGAGCAGTAGGTTATGAAATGGAGAGAATCTGCCCAACACGTGACAGTCAGCTCATGCAGGGAATATGCTAGTCAGGTTTAAAAAATAAAAAAAAAAGACAGAGGGAGAGAGAGACTGAGCTAGGCATTGATCCAATTTGTTCAGCTCCCCCAGTCTGATAGATTCCAGAAGGGGTGGGAGGCAGTGAGCGTTTCTGAGTCAAAGGCAAACCCTGGTGCTGTCCCCAGGAAAGGCCAAGCCACTCTCCCTCACTCCCTCAGGAAGCTGTAGGTCTCCGGGGATCTCAGATCTGGGGACTTGCCTTTTTCAGAGCCCTAGGAGAAGGCACCAGGATGCTGCAGCCTCTCACATGGGAGAAAGATGCTCTGAGGAATCTTGGGGTTCCCAGGGGCTCTCAAAGTAAGAGACCTGGCTGAGAAACTCTCTCACGCTGAAGCCTCAGGTGCCACGAAAGGTGACAGCCCCACCTCCCTGGCTGTCCCCAGGCACCTCAGCATCAACTTGTTCAAACCTCTCTTCCTTTCTCCGCTGGGGCCAGTATCCATCATTCCAGCAAGTCTCCCGGATGTTTCCCTAACCCCTCCTTGTCCTCCCCCTCCCTGCACACACTGCTAGGTACTTCTCACCTCTCCCTCTTGGTACCTACCTCAAGCGGCCAGGGCTCGGTCTCCTTCATCTCCACTGTGTAGAGAACAGTCAGCGAAGGTCTCAGCCTCCAGGACGCCTCCCTCTACAAGGCAACAGAGGAGGGGTCTTCCTAAAGCAAAACTCTGACCCCCGTCATCCTCAGCTTTAAGTGCTGTGTCCTCTGCCCCCTCCAGACCACACTGACCTCTCCAGGGCCACCTCATGTGACACCCCTACCCCCACCATTCTATCACGTGGAGCAGCCCTGAGCTGTGTCATAGCTCCATCCTCGACTGCTCCACTATATCCTGCCTCCCGCCCCCGCTGACACTGTTCCCGCTGCAGGCACCCTCCCTGCGTCTCCACCCAGCAAACTCACCTCCTCCCAGGCTGGGTTGGGGGCCCCTCAGTCAAGCCTCCCCAGGCCTGCAAGACCACCAAAGAGGTCAGTTCACTACCCGCTAAGTCATCCTTATCTGGCTTCATCACACGTGTTTGTATCTCTAAAGCCTTGGTTTCCTCAACTAGAAAATGCAGACTGTTAACGATTTCTGCCTCTTAGGGTGTGGTGAGGGTGAAAGAAGATAACACTCGCGTGCTTTATACTCAGCACGGCGCCTGGCACACGGACGAAAATATGAGCTGCTGTTATTTATGCCAGGGTACCATTCTTCGTGGTTTGATTTTGGAAGTTTCCTGCTATCTCATTGTACTGCACTGAGCTGTCTTCCTGGGGGAGGGGGCTTTCATCTCTACATGCTTTAGTACGACAAGGTGTGCCTGTCCTGGAACATCTGCACCAGGAGGGACCTGTGTTGAAAGCCAACACCCCTACCTTATGCCGCTCCCGCAGCTCCACACCTGCAGCCTCAGGCACTTCAGGGTAGAAATTACTCAGAAGTAGGTTGGGGCAACAAGAAGAAAGAAAGTTTTCCACCCATACACCTTATGTAGCCAATGCTTCAGGATGCTGATCTGACAAACTCCAGTCCTTCCACATTAATGGGGCTGAACTTCCCAACACAGGTGTGACTTCTCTGCTTCTTTTTAGAGGGGTGTCCAGGAGCACTGTGTTACATAATTGATCCCAGCTGTAGAGACTTAACTCCTAAGAGCCTTTTAAACCTCGTGATCTGAGACCTTAGGAAGGAAAGAAGAGCTGAGAGCTGCATGCACTAACTGCATGCAGACACAATGCTAAATGTTTCCACGTCTGTGATTTTTTTTTAATAGGCTTTATTTTTTAGAGCAATTTTGGGTTCACAGTAAAACTGAGCTGGAGATACAGAGATTTCCCATCTACTCCCACCCCCACATGTGCATAGGCTCCCCCATTACCACCACCCTCCGTGAGAGCGGTACATTTGTTTCAGGCAGTCAGCCTACATGGACACACTGATCTTATCCAGACCTTAGTTCCAGCCCCCTTGAAGAGTGGCAGTGGCCTCACCACCTGACCCTACTGCCTGGTTTTGCTGCTTGGAAGCAAAAGGCCCTTAGAATTTCCCTGCTATGACTGATTGGCTAACAAGGGGATTGATGCAGAACCCCGGGGAGGCAGAACACGGAGTACCACTGAGTAATGTCTCTCCCATTCAACTTTGCAGTGGGGATTTCGGAACCCAAAGCATCGAATCTGTGTGGGAATCGAGCATATGGAAAATCTTTGGTAAGTAAAATAAGCCTGGTTAGTTGTATCTGTCGTGCTTTAAACTTATCATGTCTGGTTCTATTTTGCCATGAAGACAGACTAAGTGTCCTTTGTCCTTGGCCTGGGAATTATTAGAAAAGCATAACTGGCCATCTTTTGCTCCTAAAAGCTACCAACTGGTCCTGTTGTGTGCACTTGTGGAACATCACTGGCTGCTTTTCTCTTTCTTGCTAGAAATGCAGCTCTTAGGCAAACAGAAGCAGCTATTATCCAACAGATGTCTTATATATGGGAAGAAAGAACTGGTTTCTAGGGTAGGTCCCTGCCAGGTGGAAATGCCTAACTAATTCCCAGGTGCAGCTAAAGGTGGAAAGTGATGTAAGGTTCTCAAGCACTGTGAAAACATGGAACACCAGTGTCTTAGCTCAGACTGCTGTAACAGAAGATCATAGACTTGGTGGCTTAACATTTTTTTTACAGTTCTGGAGGCTGGGAAGTCCAAGACTACAGTGCCAACAGATTCAGTGTTGACTGAGGGCTCTCTTCCTGTCTTGCAGACGGCCTCCTCCTCACTGTGTGTTCACATGGCCTTCTGTGCGTGCTCGGAAAGCAAAATGTCTGGTGTCTCTTCCTCTTCTTATAAGGGCACTAATCCTGTCATAGGGGCTCTATCCCGTGACCTTATCTAAACCTAATCAGCTCCCAAAGGCCCCACCTCCCAATACCATAACACTGGGGGTTAGGTCTTCTACATATGAATTTGGGGGGGGACACAAACATTCAATCCATAACAGCCAGCCATGTCAGGATGGAGACACCTGTGGGGGTATCTGCTACAGGTCAGGTTCTCCAGAAGCAGACTCTGAGATCTGGGGTTTGGGGTTTGATGGATGTTAGGGGTCAACACCTGTAACAGGAGCGGGGAAGGCAGGTCTTGTGTGGAGGAGCAGCTGCAGCGTGATGCAGGCCCAACACCTCCTGGCGGGGAGCTCTGGGGCAAGTGTCGCCCATTCAGGTTGGTCTGAGTTGGTCCAGAATGGCTGAGATTTTATGCTCCCTCCTCCTCCACAGCATGTGGGCTGCCCAGGGAAGAGTGTGACCTTGGGCCAGGTGGTCCTCTGCAGCCAAGGCCCACCCTGCCATCCTCCCTCCCACAGATGGGCAGCTGTCCTTCCTTGAAGGGGGATCCAGTGGTGCCTCTCTGGGTCTGTCAGTACCTCTCCTTCGTCATCCTCTGGGCACGAATGTCCGATTCCCTCTCACCAGAGTCAGGAGTGCCTGGAGGCGAGGTTGGCTCAGGCATCTAGACTCTCTGAGTGTCAGCTGTCGAGATTCACCGAGGGTGCAATGTGAGAAGAGACCCAAGATGTTGTCTGTGCCAGCCCCTCATCTTTCCAGAACAAACCAGACAGAGATGCTGGTGCTTCACTCACTCCTGGTTTGGTTTGGGCAGGAGACCTAGTCCAGGGATCTCATTTAGGTCATCACTATTCTAAGAAATCCACACCGAGGGCAGGGATGAAACAAGCTGTTTGTCAGGGAGACCCCTTCCCAACCTTGTACTCAGGGGAAACCAGGATGGCTGGCACAGAGGGAAGATTGTCAAGCTATGACAGCTCCAACAGCTGCCATTGGCCAAACCCAGAAAAAGAGCAAGGTTGAGGGGGAGAGGGTGACCCATGGCCTTTTACTCACCCCAGCCCTTAGGCTGGACTCAGATGGTACCCTTGGCCAGAGGGATCTGGGATGGTACAGGGTGGGGATAGAGAGACATGGTTACAAAGGGGAGGGGTCAACAAAGAAGAGGAGGACAAGGCAGCATGGCTGGCCCCTTCCTCTGGTCCTGGGGGTGGGGAATGGGCTCCCACAGCCCATCAGAGGCCCACGATTCAGGGCAGGACAGGGGTCCAGACCCACACAGCTAAATCTGATTCGACACTGAAATGCATGGATTGGTATTAGACTAAGGAAACAGGAGATAAGGAGTGGAACAAGGAGCCCCCAGCCCCCTGTCCTCCAGAGCTAAGGGGGTTGGGGGTATGTCCACCCAGCCTTTGGCACGGTGGGGAGGGAGCGCTCCAGAGAGGCCACAAGGTGGCACAGTAACTCTGCCCACAGCCTTGGCTGGCTCAGGAGAGAGGGAGATGGTGAACGATGGCGCCTTGACCTGGAATTTCTCAGCGATTTTAGGAATGTGGTGACTTGAAGCCTTCCATGGGGCTCAGGGCAGAAGAGCAAACCACAGCCTGCGTCAGCTGACTGAGCGACCCCTGGACCCAGCCCCGCTTAGGCCACCAGTTAATTTTCAACCCTCCGCATGTTCCCAAGTGCTCACCACCTCCTTTGGGAGGCGCCAAAGGGGTCAAGTCTCAGGCCCACCATGTGCCAGGCAGTCTTTGTGGGAACCAGGAGACTGGACAAACACATGACAGGAACCACCCAAAGATGGAGTAGGTGGAATGCCAAAGCGTGTCACATAGGCCCTCAGTGCTCTGGGGACACGAGGACAGAGGAAGAGCAACTTGGGCCACCAGCCTCAGGGCAGGCTTCCTGGAGGAAGTGGGTTTGAAGGGCAGGCAGAGAGGAGGCCATGATCGGAGAATGCAGGAAAGGTGCGGGGCTGTGTGTGAGCCCCCACCCCGCCCCTGTGGAACTGGCAGCATTGATACATGGGGGAGTGACAGAGGACAGGCCGCACGGGTGACATGGAGGAACTCAAGGAGCAGCTGCAGAACTGGCCACAGTCTGCCCCGCAGCAGAGTCCTTGTGGTGCTAGAGCCCAGGAGGGGCGCACGGATTGCAGCAGGTCTGGGGGAAACAAGGAGGTCCATGGGGACTGTGCCTCAAAGGCTGTAGCAGAGGAAATGGAGAGGCTGGCCCTGCCTAAGCAACCTAGTAAAAGCAAGAATCTGTAGGACTCGACAACAAACTGGACACAGGCGATGGCGGGGTGAGAGTGACAGTTCTTATGTAGGGTTGTGTTGGGCTCTCTCAAGTTTCTCTAGGTCAGTGGTTCTCAAGGTGGGGTCCCTGGACTGGCAGCACCAGAGACACCTGGGAACCTGTTAGAAATGCAGGTTCTCAGGCCCACATCAGGCCTGCCGACTTGGAAACTGGGATGGGGCCTGGCACTGTCCTGTCAAACCCTCCAGGGGAGTCGGATGCCTGCTGAAGAAGGGTGAGGACTGTTGCCCAGGTTAGTGGCGGTCTGATTCAGTCACCCGCCTTTCAGAGGGCTGCAGTCCATGCCAGGGCGGGAACTAGACACATCTTCACCGTCCCTCCCGCTTCCTCACGGCAGATTCCGCCAGGGCCCCGGATCTCGGTGGAGGCGGCAGCCCCTGGCTCGGAGAAGGGAGCTGCTCTGACGAGAGGGTAAGTGCTGGGCACCCGCCGTCCTGGTCCTTTGCAGAAGAGCGACAGGTGGCCTGGCGGACAGGCTCTGGGGATGCGCACAGACCCGTGGCTGGAAACCTCCTAATGAGGCCAGCGGGTTCCCCAGGACCACGCTGGCCTGTTTGTCATGGTTTCTGCTTCGTTAACGCCATTCTTTACACTTGGAGAAGTGTCAGTGGGAGGGTTCTTGGTTAATTAGATGAGTGTAACCGAGAGCCATATTCAGAACGCCCCGTAGACACACGGGTGTCAGAGGCGCCTCACGAGTGAGTCTGGGACCCCCGCCCGCAGGGGAGGAAGCTCACCAGACACGGAGGCTGCACCCCAGGCTTAGGCCCTGCGGTGCCCGTTAAGTTGACCCCAAGCAGCGGGAGTGGGTGAGCCCCAGCACCCCGGGGCGTCGCCCTGACACGGCGAGCATTTCAACTCGGCGTGTGCGTCGGTGCCCCTCACCACCCCGTCCACACCACGGGCAGCACAAAAGGGGTTTCAGGATGGTGAGAGGCTGGGCTCTTCACCCAGATCTGCTTTCCAGGCTGCCACTGTCCCCAACACACCACAACTTCAGGCAGTTATTCCGTCCCCGAGGCCCCAGCCATTCAAAAGCAAAACAGTAACACGGGAATGACAGAGGTACCGACCTGATTACTGTGAAGGCTGAGTGAGGTAATGTGTGGAGAGCTGAGCACACACAGCAAGCGAGTCCTTTCTCTCAGCTCAGTCTTCCTCACTTCAGTTTGTTCCAGAACCCTGGCTACAGGAAAGGGAGGCCATTTATTTCACCTGAGGGAAGCAAGTGGGGAGAAAAGCGAACATTTATTGAGGGTCTACAATGTAGACAGTTGCTTTATTATCTCATTTTTGTCCTCACAGAAGCCCCATGAGTTAGAAGAAATTATCCTCATTTTGCACGCGAGGAAACTGAGCCTGGGCAAGGTCAAGGCACTTGCCCAAGGTCACAAGGCACTTGCCCAAGGTCACATAATGAGATGGGAGTAGGATTCGACCCCAAGCCTCCTGTTCTTTCAGTAGCTGATGCACTGGGACAGCTGCCCTTTCTAGCAAGGTCACTGTTCATGAGAGATGGGAGGGGTAGGGACATGGAGCCGTCCCCATGAGGGTCCCTCCGATGTGCAGAGCCTGATCATGGGATGAAGGAGCCGAGGAGGAGAGTTATGGCCACATTAAGTCTGGCTCAGTGAAGTCCCCGCCCACCCCTGGCTTTACTTTAGATCCAGACATCTCAAGAAGATGACCGAAGAGTACCCAACCCTTCCCCAAGGAGCAGAAGCCTCCCTACCGCTGACAGGAAGTGCTTCCTGCGGTGTCTCCAGCATCCTCCGGAAAATGTGGACAAGGCACAAGAAGAAGTCGGAATATGTAGGAGCCACTAACAGCGCCTTTGAGGCTGACTAAAGGTGACCCTCCCCAGATGTCCCACACTGGCCAAGGTTCCCTGGACGAGGGGAGAAAGCTCCAGGATCAGAGCTGAGCCACACTCAGCTGGCCCCAACATATCATCCTCCCTCACTAACTGGTCACCCTGGCTTAGGGCACGGAAAACAATGTCCCTTGAAGGCAAAATAAAACTGTGCAAATTGCTAAAGTCATTAGTCTGAAAGTGACTTTAGGAGCTCCTAAAGTTTATATCCCCATCTTTATGCAAAACCACACCAGCCCATTTTAAAGACCTCCAAGAAAAGAAGAGGAGGACTCCTCTGTCTTCCTGTGAGTTGTTCTAAAGTGTTTATTTTCTGGTGTAAATTTAAGAGCTTGACTTTGAGGCATTTGTAAACATGATGGTTCTTACTGTTCCCATTATCACATTGATTTCACCTGGATGAGGTACAATTTTGAAGGACAAAGCATTATCTATTAACTTAGTAGTTCTAATATACACTTGAGAGTATCATCAAGATCGATTTTGGTGGTCATTTGGCATGACTGCATGAATTCTCTATTTTCTGTGCAGTTTTTCTATAGAAAAACATTAAAAATTAAATGTTGAATGCTAATGTTTTCTGAAGTGGTATTATCATAATACCTTACTTTGGTGTAATGATTCTAACTTCTGAAAGTGCTTTCTCATCCCTTAACTCTTCTTATCTTCACAAAGCCCTGTTGAGGAAAGCACCATTCTTCCCAGATATAGATGGAGAAATTGAGAGCTGTGGGGGTTACGTGACTAGATACTGGGAAGGGGAACTAGACCCCAGGTCCTCAACTTCTCTCCGGCAGACTCCCTGCTTTGCTTCCTCTAAGCAACTGATTTGAGGAAGTTTTTGAATGGTGGAAGTGAGTCTCTAGGGGACAACTTCTGAGGGAAGAATCTGAAAAGGTTGGAACAAGTAAAGTGATTTGAATGAAACACATCATCATATATTATTAGGTTGACCCAGAAGAAATTGCCATTTTGTATGTCAAAAACATTGAATATCAATTTGATGCGGTTCAACCTAATACATAATATTATACTTTCCTTCTTTCCATGGAAATGTCACCGTGAAGTCCATTGTCAACATCGGTAGCCTTAAAATGACAATATACTACTACTAATGATAGCTATCATTTATTAAATGCCTACTATGCTCCATGGATGATACTGGGCACTGTACATACATAATCCTAATCTTTCTAGCAGCTCTCAGTGAGGTGGTCTTACCCATTTAATAGACACCAATTCAAAGGGGTTAGATGATAAGACTGAAGGCACTTAACTCATAAGTGTCTTCAGGCTTCAGTGCCTGTGTTATATCTACTCCTTCATGCAAAATAGTTCAGCACATAGAGATGTACCAAGGTTACTAAATAGTTTTCATCTCAAGTGCTAAACAAAATTGATGGGTAGATGCTGCCTGCAGTTCTGTGTGGGATAGAATCTGAGCTAGAAGAGTGCAGTGATCAATTAGTAATGCCTGCCTGTGGAGGGGATTAGTGACATATGCCTTGTATGTTTGTCATCTGTTGCCCAAACTCTGCCTCCAGAAGGCTTTTTTTCTTTTTAGATTAAATTAATCTAACCCACTTAATGAAACCAAAAATTTAGCCCAAGACTATGTTGGACATTGCCGTGTCTTGGTACAAAGAAGTGTTTGGCCACATTGCAGGTCTCAGACACAACTGTTATATTAGGACTGGTATGCTGTGCCCACGCCTTGCTTTTTGCTGAGTTTGAGTTACCTGTTTCCACATCTCCAGGTGAACCATAGGAAAGCAATGGGGGTGGATAAGAGGCCTGAGCTTCTGGGCTTTCACCTTGCTGATCTCTGCTCTTCAGCCATTGTTTTCGACCCTGAACATCCAATCCTCATATCTGAACATGATTTGGAGACTTGGGCACCAGGTGGTCTTTCAGTGAGGGGCTAGTCCCAGTGGACCGTGCAGTCGTGTTGTTCAGTGTAGATTCTGGGGTCCAGGACAAAGTTAGGGGGCTAACAGATGATCTATGCTGGACCTAACAGAGCAAGCTACAACTATTTATTTTAACTTATTTAATTTATAACTGATATCTTTCATTTGTATGTATCACCTGGAGATTTATATATGGTGGAACTAACTTATTTATTTTTAATTTAAATATTTCATGTTTGCCCTGTATAGACATCTTATTTGGCCAGTTCAAATAAAAATAAAAGTATGCTTTGTTTGTGATGTTAATAAACCATTACAAGTGCATGCCTGAGGCTCCCTTATTGACTTTCTCAAAGTGAAAGAACTAGGTATCTGGACCTCACTGTTCCTTTAAATGAGAGGGATGGTAAGAAAGAACCCTGGGCCTGTTCTTTCCATCCTAAGGCAATGTCTGGTTTTGATATCACAGGCCCTGCCCAGCTGTTAACACCAGGGGCGCTTCTGGTGGGGTCTAGGCTAATGACCTGTCCCCCCTGGGCTCATAATCTTCCCTGTTGTCGCTGACCCCCCTTCCTCAGTCCCCTTATCCTCCACAAGCCCCGCTGGGCCCAGGGGCCATTGCCAGCCTGCAGGGGGATGCAGCCTTCCTCCTCTGTGCCTCCCTCATGTTCAGCCTTCCTGGGGACTGCCCCCATGATTCACGTCACGGCCACTTGCAGAAGCATGCCAAGGCTTGATGCAAACGGCCATCCGGGAATGACCAAGCCTGGAGTCTCTAGAGCCAGAGGCAACAGGATTTCCAGGACATTTAGGGTAATGAAAGCACCTCTGTTAGGACCAAGTCCAGGCCCATATTTCAGTTCCTTCTGAGCACCCTCAGCGGCGCCTCCCCGCCCCTCCTGGAGCTCATGTTGCCTGTAGAGCTGGCAGATGGGCAGTAGGCAGGAGAAACAGCACCAGCCAGAGCCCAATTTTAAAAGGAATCATGTGGCACGTTGTCTCCAACTCTAAATTGGCAGAGACCAAGGGACAAGCAAGAAAAAACACAGGCAAAAAGATGACTCTCCTAAAGATTAGAATTTGCATTTGGTTTTTAATGTTTTACCAAAATGTCAGCCTCCACCAAAGGTGTGTGTTGAGTGCATCGCTGCCATGCACAGGGACAAAGGTCTCCTTCCAAAGGCCAGGCCACTTGCCTAGAAATTTTTTGTCACTTTGGACCTGGGACAAGACTCACACCTATTAATACCATTTGTTGG